TTTTTTTTGTATTAGAATATAATTAATTAAGCGCTGGAAATTATCTCAAATATTCGAAAGTGTGATTTGTCGATGTTTTATGGATTTTTTGGGGAACATTTTATTAATAATTTATTGGATTATCAAAGTTACATATAGATGTCTATTGCAAGAGCTGTAGATCGCTTTTTCGTCGCAGCGCTTTTTGCGTCTACGAGGAAAAAAGCGGCAGCGAATGCTCTGCGCGTCGTGAAAATTCATAGAAATTCGTTCCCTCAGCCGTGTTTTTTCGAGCGGTTTTCGAAATTCCCATCAGAGCGACAGCCGGGGCGGTCGGTGTCGACTTTTCATTTGCGCCCGGTCGCCTTCGTTCACCATATATCTAGGTCATATAATTATTTCGCCGACCGCCTCCTTCGCATGCAAAAATGTCGGTGTAAACAAACTCTCAGTTCAGCATCGTCGTCGGAACTTGGTCGGCTACTTCTCGGCGGGGACGATCGCGTCCTGTGCCTCATCGTCCGTCGCGGAACAGCAGAGCTGTGATTTTTTCGTGCACCAGCCGTGAAAAAAGGTAAAAACGCGCTCTCAGCCGACAGCAAGTCAAGGCTAGTGTCGTGAACAGGCCGAGAAAAATTCGCTCAGCAAAACAAACCTGTTTCATTTGGTGGCGTTTTTTCACCGTCTGCCAATGCTAATCTGAAAAGAGAGATTTTTGAGTGTATGTGCGTGTCTTGTGCCGGGACTGACGGGTGCGGCCGGTGTCTTGCCGTCGTCTTCTTCTTTTCGTCGTCACCCCTCCTATCCACGGCTTTCTCAGCTTCTTCTCTGCCTCCGCTGCTGGCACGATGCCTCGTCGGCCATTGCACGGGTTTTATTTTGAATATGTGTGTGCGGAGAGCCCCCCGTTTTTTCTCCGACATCGCCACTAAATATTGAGCGGGCTCGTCTGACTCTGCAGGCGGTAGTCGGGGCCCCTCGACTGGCGGCGTCTCGAAACCCGTAAACCCGTTGTTTGTTCGCGGGGTTCTTTTGCACTCACAGTACATTGCTAATGAGAGTGTTGCTAACTCGTCTGTTGCATAGATTTCCCCTAAATCAAACGCTTTTTTCTCTGCCATCCATAAGCAGCGGCGGGTTCCTCAAGAGCTTCTCCTTCATTTTCATTTTAGATGTGATGTGTTTTTTCTTCGGGACGTGTTCGACTTCGTTCCTTTTATTTCGGAGTGTCTCTTCGGTGCTGGCTGCTCTGAATGTGTTATCAACATTATTTCCGATCGATCGCAAATTTTGCGCCCCTTGCAAATGCCTCTACCCCGATGTTTGGCTTTTCCTACTATCTCAAACCTTTCCATGATGGGCCTTATGAAACCCCTCTGCCTCCTTCGTCCCATGCACACCCCCTCCCTTCCATGTACCGGGGGCCTTGTTCGCTTATCTGCTTTGATGTTCGTTGAGGAGATGGGTGCTGGATATGAGGACTACGAGGAGAACCAGTAGATGTACACTTGTGACGCGATTCAAGAGAGGTCCCATAGCTGCTGTGCGGCTGCTGCTGTTGGCGATGGTTGAGAAGCCTCAGATTCCTGTTCCCTTCATTGGTGACGTTGCTGATGACTTGTTTTGCCTCATTTATGCCCTCTCAACTGATTACCATTAAGCTTTTCGTACAAGTCATTAGATGCTTCATTCGTTTTTAGATCGCTGAAGTATATCATTGCCATCTTTGCCGTCTGCTTTCGAATTTGCATGCTTGTCTCTCTTCGGAATGTCGTAATGTTTAACTGCCG